CTATCTATCTATCTGTCTATCTATCTATCTATCTATCTATCTATCTATCTATCTATCTATCTATCTATCTATCTATCTATCTATCTATCTATCTATCTATCTATTCCATCCATCCATCTATCCATCCATTTATCTATCTATCTATCTATCTATCTATCTATCTATCTATCTATCTATCCATCTTTATTCATTTTATTAAGAGATTTTTAAAAAGTTTTAATTTAATTTAATTTTATTAACTATAAACGTCTTTTCTACAAGTAATACTTTAAAATTCTCCAAAAAATTCTGGGTTGTTTTAATCTAATTTTGGACAAACCCAAGTTAACCTAATCATGGAAAAAAATAAAATATATAAAAAAAAACAGCAGTTTTTTTATGTAAATGCATAATTTTAAGGAAAACTCTATATTTAAGCAGTATGATTTTGTTCCTATTTATTCTTCTGCACAGGGCCGGAAGTCTTTTTGTCAACTGATGAATGATATTTCCTTTTCCTTTATTTGATTTAGCCAATAATCACACTTTAATAATATTAAATGAAGCGCAGCATTTGCCAGGATCAAAACAGTGAATTCCCACAGCTGTTTATCAGCAAAGATAGAGCTTCATCTGAGTCACAGCCTGCGTTTTTACATTCATTTCCACTTCACTTCAGGTGATTAAAGCAGATAAAACCTGACAATAACAGTGCGGGAGGATTCAGGAGAGTTGGAGTTGTAATTGCAGATGAGCTTTTGACATCTTCATCATGTTCATCTTTTCAGAGATCGCCAGCAGGAATCTAACATGCAGAAAGTAGTTTAAATGTCCTTTCCCACCTCCATCTACAGATGAATTACAGTAATCACAGAGAAGACCTTCTGCACTTGTAATTAAACACCAGATCCTGTCATGATGGGAATGATTACATTTAATAGACGAGTTCTGCTTATAGAAGTTAAAGACACAGTCAATGGCAGAAATACTACAGAGGCCAAGGTCTCGTCCTGAGGTCTGTTCAGGCTCTACAGCACTGCTTTACTTTTAAAGTCTGGCTAATTTCCAAATTACAGCACAAAGCATCTGCCATAAATGCTCGATTGAGAAATATTTGTATAAATATATAACATTTTAAGTCATTATATGTTTTGCTAATATACACTCACCGGCCACTTTATTAGGTACACCTTACTGGTAATGGGTTGGACCGGATTTTGCATTCAGAACTGCATAATCCTTCATGGCAGAGATTCAACAAGCTACTGGAAATATTCCTGAGAGATTATCATATTGACATGATAGCATCACACACCAACAACCATGCCACGTTCGAAGTCACTTAAATCCCCTTTCTTCCCCATTCTGATGTTCGCTTTGAACTGCAGCAGATCGTCTTGACCTTGTCTCCTTGCCTAAATGCATTGAGTTACTGCCATGTGATTGGACAGGTGTACCTAATAAAGTGGCCAGTGAGTGTAGGTCACAATATATTTTGTTAAAATAGTTAAAAAATGTATTTTTTGTGCGTGTATTTATGTGTGTGTTTGTTTTTCTATGTGTGTGTGTGTGTGTATGTGTGTGCTTCTGTGTGTAGTATGTTCATGTGTGTGTGTGTGTGTGTGTGTGTGTATGTGCAGTGTGCATTCTCTTCATCCCATTAGCCGTTTCTCAGAGCGATGTCGTTGTGTTTGTTTTGTGCAAGTTGTGTGTGTGCTTGTGTGTATGTGTTCACCGCAGGAGCTCCAGCTTTTGTTTCATTATTGATGAAGTCCCTGGTGTCTACACACACATACACACACACACTGCTCCCGGACGCTCCTGTGAAGCTGTTTGATGCTGGTGTTTGTTGCACCTGCTTTAACCACAAATACAGTAAAGAAACTCTTCTTCCATCTTCCCATCAGGAGTCTGTGGTGTCTGCTACTGCGCAAATACACTGAACAACACGATTCATTGCATTTACTACATTATTTTAAAGTAAGTGCATGCAAACAATGTATATGGGCTGAATTTAAACAAACAAAGGAAGTTGAACATTATCTAATTTACTTTGTGCCGCAGCGACCGGTCTGACGCATTGGCGTGCGTTTGAATGGAAGTCTATGGGAGGAAAAGCTCAGTGTGACCGCAGCTTTAGTTTGTAAAACTTCACTTAGTTTATTTAACTTCAGCCGATATCAGTTGTTTGATACCATTCAATCATTTTCCTCCGGCTTAGTCCCAGATTTATCAGGGGTCGTAAAGATGACAGAAAACTTTATAGTACTTTATAATACTACAATTCCTAACGAAAAACTATTATATCTAGCATGTTTTCAGTTGTGTGGCAGCAGAACTTGTCATGATGTGCAATATTTCATGCATGCAAGGATCGCTGGTCTCTTTGTCCTAAAGCGACTTTTAGGCCCAGTCCCAATACTACACCTTAGCCTTTTCTCTTACCCTTCATTTTGTGTGTTCCCGTGAATGCACTGCAAAAAATGCTTTACTTGCTTAGATTTTTTGTCTTGTTTCTAGTCTAAATATCTACAATTTCTTATATCAAGAAGCATTTTTTAGACAAGCAAAACATATTGCCTTGTTTTGAGAAATAATATGCCAATATTAAGTCAGTTTTTCCTTAAAACAAGTAAAATAATCTGCTAATAGGGTAAACAAATTAATCTTGTTTTTTCTTCTGACGTAAGATTATTTTGCTTACCCCATTGGCGGATTATTTTGCTTGTTTTAAGGAAAAACTGACTTAATATTGGCATAATATTTCTCAAAACAAGACAATATGTTATGCTTGTTTAGAAAATTCTTCTTAATTTAGGA